GACGGGCCGCCCAGCAGAGCCCGCGGCGGTAGCCCCCACGTAAACGACACCACACTCTCCTCACCGTCGTCGCTGGTGCTGCTGCCGCCGCCGCCGGCACCTGTCACCGATACACTTGCCGTATGATCCAACAGTCGTACTTTGGCGCCCGTCTCGTCCTCTCCTTCTACCAACCTCGGGCTCACAGCCCCGCGGCTACGGCTGCTGATGCAGCGTGACGGCGGCGCCGCCGCTGCCGCCGATGCAGCGGAGGCCTTCCTGGGGATGCCGCCGGAGAACGAAGCCGACGGCGAGCCGAGGATGTTGATGGACGCGGCTTCCGAGCCAGCGGAGACGCTGGCACGGCTGCTGCCGCCGTTGCCAGCCGCGGCAGCGGCGGCGGCGGCGCGAGCTGCTGCGGTGCGTGCGGCGGCTTTCTGTGCGTCGGGTGTTGCGCGGGGTGTCTCCAAGGGCCACTCAAGGTCGATGGCGTCCTGGGGAGGGTGGGGTGGTTGTGTTTGGACGGGTTCCGGACAAGAACCTCCGGGTACACGGATGCGTATGTGTGTGGGAATCAGGAACCCTAGTGTTTGTGTTAGTTTAGGGGGAAGGGACAGGAAGGAGTTGGATCGGGTACTTCAAGTACCACAGGTCGTAGATAATGCAGCATATAGCGGCAGCAGCACCAGCACCCGCATACGGACAAGCAGCACGAGCACATGGTAGGATGGTAGGGAAGCATATGCAAGGAAATCAGAAATGAACTGCCGGCGTGCGGTGGTAGGGATGGGAACCATGAACATGATGCAGGCAGCGGTAGAGAACCGGGGCGCCGTTACCACAGCACTTGCTGTTTTGCACCAACTAAGTAATTTTCGGTCGCTTACCCGCAGCGCCGCGGCGGACTCGGAGGGCGTCCAGGCTGCCACGTCCTGCACATGATGTGGACAAGGGGGGAAAGACGAACCACGAACGAGTGAAGCTACTGCCACGGAAAGAGTGTACATGGGGGGCCAAGGAAAGAGTGTACAAGGGGAGGGACGGCGGGCAGCATCGCTCATTACTCGCATCGACAGCGCGAGAGGAGGGTGAGGAGCGCTGTATCGCGGCGCGGCACGCAACACACACACACACACACACCGGGACGCAATATGTAAATGGGTTATCTCCACTCCACCAAAATCCAGATTTTCTGGAAATTCCGCATCCAGAACCTGATCCGCATCCAGCTGCTTCGCCCCACCTCAATAACCCCCGATTTGGTTGGTACGCTAACCGCTAACCTGTTGCGCCATCACCAGTCTCCACACGTCCAGCAGTAGCCGCTCCGCCTCCCGGGCGTTCAGTCGCCCATCCGCATCGTCATCGTAGTCGTCTAGGACGTCCTTGAGCTGTGGGCCGGGGGAGTGGGAGAAGGACATGCAAAGCCAAGGTGCGTGTGGGGTGTATGTTTGTGGGGGGGGGAAAAGACGAACCACGAACGAGTGAAGCTGCTGCCAAGGAAAGAGTATGTATGTGTGTGTGGGGGGATGGTGAAATCATATGCGAGGTGGAACTCAACGGAGATGAACTGCCGGCGTCCAAGGAAGGAAGGGGAAGGGGGAAGGGTTGCGGCCCGAGGGTATTGAAGACCGGGTCAGTTCCCCACGGGCAAGCTCCCCTCGCCATCCTGTGCTGGCTCTGGCACTTGATGCCCCGTCTTTGCCGCCAAAAGAATTTCCAAGAATTTCTGGCACTCGCAACACCCCCAAAATGCCAAAAAACATCAGTTTCAGAAGCTCTCGAGTCCCCTCTCCCCGCGTGTCGCGTGTAAAGACAGGTGCGTTTGGTTCAGTTCGGTATGTGGGCTGGGGAGGTTCACTCACTCCCCGACCATTCAAACCACGCGCACGCGCATCCCCCCCGCACACATACCGGAGCATCTGGGCCCCACGGGGACCATATCACGCAGCTCCCAAAGCTCATGTCCACACACAAACAACCACTACACTCTTGCTGCGTTGTGATGACGCGCAGGCGATGTTTCGTCTTAACACCACCACAAAGCGATGGGCAACACACACAACACACATAACCCGACCACACAGCCAAATACACTACAGCTAAACCTCACTCAGGTGGTTTCTTTATCGTTGCACGTGATGCACTGACCCAACTAACTAACCAACTCCGGCCACCTGCACCAGCTCCCCAACTCGCCCCCACACCCGCCCCCACACCCGCCCCCACACCCGCCCCCACACCCACACCCACCCGTACAGGACCCAGTCTCAGCCCGCACGCGTGAACCAGTCGGTCCAGCTCTGCCAGGTTCAGATCGCCACTATGATCCTGAGCGGCGTGTGGGGTGTGTATGTATGTATGTTGGAAGGGGGTGTCGGAGTGCGTGTGGGGTGTTGGACTGGTGCGAATAGAGAGTCGTTTTACCAGGAAAGGGAGGAGGAGGAGGTGGGATAGGAGTGTATGGGAGGGCGGCGTAGTATTAAGACGATTAGGGACGTTGGAGGGTTATTCTGTAGGTAAAAGATCATACAAAAACTTGTCACTAGTACCTACTGATTTGCTCTCATTCAGATTTGCTCTCATTCGTTGGGTTGTCACGTGTGTGCGGTCTGTGGTGTGTGAACCCTACCGCACAAGGCAAACCTGTCCCCACACGGGGGACCCCAGCTCAGCGCTAAGCACCTGCGTTACTTACGTTGCACAGACGTCTCCCTTGAAAATCCCTGACCGAAATCCCTGACCGTGTCCTTGCTACGTGCTACCTAAGAGAGCTGCACTGCATTACGCTCTGCGCTATGCCCTCCTAAACGCCGTAACCCCCTGCACTGTCATGTACCTGGTCATAGTAAGTGAAGATGTCGGCCAGCAGAGCCGCCCGCTGGGGTGGCGGCATGACGGCGGCCTCGGGGGGCAGCGGAGTGGCCGGGGCGTCAGGCAGCGGCAGCAGCGCCCGCCAGGGGGGCAGTGGTACGGACCGCCGCTTGGCGCTGAGGGTGCAGAGAGCGTGGAGACAATCGTGCGATAAATGGATTGGGCTGGTGATTGGGTTGGTGATTGGGTTGGTGATTGGGTTGGTGATAGGGTTGGTAACTGGGTTGGTGATTGGGTTGGTGATTGGGTTGGTGATTGGGTTGGTGATAGGGTTGGTAACTGGGTTGGTGATTGGGTTGGTGATTGGGTTGGTGATTGGGTTGGTGATTGGGTTGGTGATTGGGTTGGTGATTGGGTTGGTGATAGGGTTGGTAACTGGGTTGGTGATTGGGTTGGTGATTGGGTTGGTGATTGGGTTGGTGATTGGGTTGGTGATTGGGTTGGTGATAGGGTTGGTGATTGGGTTGGTGATTGGGTTGGTGATTGGGTTGGTGATAGGGTTGGGTGATTGGGTTGGGTGATTGGTTGGGTGATTGGTTGGGTGATTGGTTGGGTGATTGGTTGGGTGATTGGTTGGGTGATTGGTTGGGTGATTGGTTGGGTGATTGGTTGGGTGATTGGTTGGGTGATTGGTTGGGTGATTGGTTGGGTGATTGGTTGGGTTGATGGATACAGAAGGGGATATTGCGGGCTGGGCGGATGTGTGCGGTAGCTTCGGGCTGGCCTTGGGAAAGGAGTGGCGGTCATGGTGATATGGGAGGAGCTGGCTCAGCAGCAGGCATGCCATGGTACATATAAACTCCGAGATCAGTCGCCAACAGGTTGCTTTGGATGGACAGCCAAACTTTGCGGCCATGACCCTTCCCTCTTTTCCCCCTCATCCTTTTTGCCCCTTCCCGCCCACCTCTCCAACGCTTGCCGAATCACGGCAACCGCCTTGTCCGCCGCCACACCGCATGCGGCTCGCAGGTCGGTGTCATCCGCCACCACCAGCAGCGGCCCATCTACCGCCAGCGCCAGGAAGCCCCCAGACCATCGAGCCAGAGAACGTCCCAGGCCACTTAGCCAGACCTGAGAGTTAGCCAGGCCGGGGCAGGGGTGGGTAGGGGCAGCAAGGGGGGTGGGGAAGAGAAGGCTGACACCGTGAAGGGGTAATAGAATGGGGGGAAGGGGTAAATAGGGTGTCAAATGGGAGACCCGCAGGACGGCGACGTGGAAGAGCCCACAGCCCAATACAACACCAGACCAGAACGTACGAAAACAAACCAACGTGTGGACTGATGGCATATAAGTCGCACAGCAGCGCTCTCCACACACACTCGTAATGTGTGCCGCGTGTGTGTTACGTAGAACGATAGACAGACCGACAGACGGACAGAGCGCCTGATGGGCTAAAATAATAACAGAGGCAGCAGAGGCGTTACGGAATGCCATGGCACGTACCACGGTGTCGTACATCGTCCAGTCGTCCACCGTGCGCAGGGAGTGTGTCGGCGGTAGCATGTGCGCCGCCGTGGCAGCGGCGCCGGGTGCAACAGCGGCATTGGCCGGCGACACAAGGATCTGCGTCGCCAAGCTGCTACTGCTGCCGCCGGAGCCCGCCAACGTCGCACCCAGCGTTAGCGACGACATCGACGCCAGCATCGCCGCCGCGACGTCGCCGCTGGCCACACCGCTGGCCGAGGATAATGACGCCAGGAGCAGCTGCTCTGGTTGCTGATGTATGTGAGCGGGGTGGAGGTAGACAGGGGGCGGGTCGGGCAGGAGCCGCAGCCCTGCCGCCGCCAGGGCGCCACTACGAGAGGCCTCTTGCAGCACATCCGCCACTGCAGACCGCACCGCCTGCGTTGGCGCGTGAGGGGGGATGAGGGGACCCCGAGTGGGGCGATCGGTGATTGGGTCGGTGCATGGGGATGGGAGGGATGGAGTGAGGGCAGACAGGCAAAGGTTGTGGGGTGGAAGGACCCCGGGCTACTGGCCCATGATAAAGCCGGGCCACTTGGGCATCGGTCGTCGCAAATCCTCGTGGGTGCATGTGGTGTGTGTGCGAGTCCTGGAAGCAACTACCCGAGTCCTGGAAGCAACTACCCGAGTCCTGGAAGCAACTACCCGAGTCCTGGAAGCAACTACCCGAGTCCTGGAAGCAACTACCCGAGTCCTGGAAGCAACTACCCGAGTCCTGGAAGCAACTACCCGAGTCCTGGAAGCAACTACCCGAGTCCTGGAAGCAACTACCCGAGTCCTGGAAGCAACTACCCGAGTCCTGGAAGCAACTACCCGAGTCCTGGAAGCAACTACCCGAGTCCTGGAAGCAACTACCCGAGTCCTGGAAGCAACTACCCGAGTCCTGGAAGCAACTACCCGAGTCCTGGAAGCAACTACCCGAGTCCTGGAAGCAACTACCCGAGTCCTGGAAGCAACTACCCGAGTCCTGGAAGCAACTACCCGAGTCCTGGAAGCAACTACCCGACGGGCGCCGTCCACCGTGGTGTGCCGCCGTACTCGCGCCCCACAATACCTGCGCAAGCGCGATCCCCGCAGCTGAGCCTTCCGGTGGCGGGTCCGGCGGCAGCGGCACTGTCAAGTCCATTACATGTACTGGGTACGACTGTACGGGATAACCGGGAACTGGATCCGGCAATACCAAAGGTGGCGGCGGGTTGGGATCGGGCGCTGCCGCGGCTGCCGTCGAGGCTGCCACCGCTGCAGCAGCCTTACGGCCCATGCCCGCGACCGCCGCGGCAGCGGCTTCACCGACAGACGCCGGCGGTGGCACGTGCAGCCGTACGATGAGTACGGCGGACAGCGGTGCACCTGGCCATGTGCCTGGCGGCGCCGTCAAGCGAGCCGTCAGGATGCGGCGCTCCAGCGCCCACTGGGGGCTAGCCAGCAGTGCTGGAGAGAGCACCACAATAGCCAGCCGGCAGCGCTCCAGAGCTTCAGCCCTGAGGAGGCAAAACAAACACACAGATGTGGGCTGGCGTTCTAGGTAGTCTGCATTTTTTCCTTGAGCTCTTTTTTCAATGGCGCTTTCTGAAAAGGCGAGGAATCGAACTCGGAAATCCAACGTTTTCAGCTGTATGTTAAAACGAATGAAACAACGCTGCTTGCCGTACCTGGCCAGCGGAGGGTCTTGCATGCTCACGCGGCTTTGTCCCATCTCGCACCAGACCGCCTCGCCAGCGGCAGCGGCTGCGGCGGCGCCACCGCCGCTGCCGTCACCGTGGTCTGCTGCCGCCGCCGGTGACTGCGGCGCCGCTGCCGTGGCCACCGCCGTCATAAGGGTGGTCGCCAGGGCCCTGTTGAAGAGGCGCTCCACAAAGGTAGGGCCCCCCTCAAACGCGGTGATCAGGGCCAGGAGCCGCGGCGGGGTAAAGTGCGGCAGGCGGAGCGCCTGCGTCAAGTTGGTCGAGGTTGCGTTCGTTCGATTGGATTGGATTCAGATGTACGCCCCCTAACACGCGAACCCAAGACGATGTTCTTATTGTTATTAATGTTGCTGCTGTTGGCTATTCGGATTTTTGGGTGATGCTGACGGTGATGATGACAACGATGAGGTGTACTCACATGAGGGTCAGCCGGTTGCTGGTTCCAGCTTCAGCTCCCCGGCCCAGGGCCCCCCGCCCTAACCGGTTCCCGCCGTCCGCCCCGGTCCCGCTCCGCCCCACCCCGTCCTGCCTGCCCAGCCCCCTACCTCGTACTCCAGATTAGCACTTAGCCGCTGCTGCCGCAGAGCCGCCAGCTGCTGCTGCGCAGAGCGACTGCGGGATGAAGAGAGCGGGGAGGAAAAAAGGCGCAGAAAGAGTTTTGGACACGCGTACCGGTGTACACAACAGCAAACGCCCATCCTGGAGTCCCCCGGCGCACCACAGTACTCAATGCGGTGCGTCTTGCTGCGGGGTGTTGTTCCCCGCAAACACCGGCTTCACGGCCACAAAGTTACAATGATCCCATCCACCACAGCGCACGACGCAACCCGACACGACGTGACTGTCCCCACCATGGGCTTGAGGCCAGTACGTACGTAATCGTACATGGACCAGCAACTCTCTGTCCCCACTGCAATGACAACACCGCTACTACTACTACTACTACCACCACCACCATCTCGGTTGGTCGCACACGCCAGTCTAATCCACTACCCCTGCTCGCCTAACTGCCTGCCCGCACCGTCAACCCGCTGCCCCACCTGTACGCTGACTGCTCCTGGACCATAGCCTGTGGGAGGGTTTCGGGATGCGGGGTTACGGCAGCTGCAGGGCCACGGGCCAGAGAACTTGGGGCACAGCAGGTGGGTGGGGCCGATGGGTGGGGCCTGACGAATGTACTCTCTTCCCCAGACTCGCCTGCCATCCCCATTAGGATTAGTAGGTGCAGGATTGACTTCCTAGCCCAGATCCAATCCCCCAAACAATCCATAATTTCATATGGTTTTTGTGGGGGTTTGACACACCTCATTCACACCACGATCCCACCGTCGCGCCTCACACGCACCTGGACAGCCCCATCGAAAGCCGCTTGCGCCTCTGCCTCTGCGGCCTCGCGTGCAGCGGCGTCTATGACTGCCTGTTTAGCTCCATGGTATTGCCTGTATGTGTGGGTGGTGGTGGTTGGGGTTATGTGGAGAAGGATGGGGTGGGGGGGCGCCTCGCCACATACGACCAAGTAGGCTGCGTACAGGATGCTGCTCGAACCGACTGTTTAAAGGACAAGTCCGTGTGGCAGGTCCAGAGGCCAGGGCGCGATGGATATGTTTGGATATTCCTATCCGTGCAGCAGCACTTCGACACTTTGGGCGATCGTGTGCTTGTGCAGGTTTCATGTTGCATGGGGTAGCGGAAAGCTGTCGTCTCAAGGTGCAGACAAACCCAACGAGTCCAATTACAGTAATGGGAGAACCGCTTCTACCAGGAAATCCTTCTAAATGTCGAACGAGTCATAATCCATCGGAACGCAAGATGGGGATTCATTATTCTCCCATATAGACGTGTGATAAGCAAGCCAGGCTTTTGGTACTTATGACAGCAAGCTCACCCCCTTCCATGCGCAGGGTTGACCGGATGGCATCCCGCCGTTCATCCTACCTGTGCAACTCTTCCTTTCGTTGCTGAAACCATTCATCCGCTTTTGCTGCGCGAGCTTTCTTCCATTCTTCTGGAACTGGTTCTTGCCAACGACTGGGAGCATCTTCCGCGCCCTGCTCCGCGGCCTGCAATGAATCCATCTCTTGACGTTCTTCGCTCATGTTCTAGAGCTAAGAAGATAGATAAACTTCAGTCAATCCTTTCGGACCAGATAACTGAGACAAGCCTGGCCTACGTAGCCATGTCGTCCCTTCTTTCGTTCTTTGTTCCCAAGCTATCAGTGCATGAGTCCAATTCCATCCTAATCGATGACGGGTTTGTTGGGCCAGATTGTAACTAAGCTGTTTCAAGAAAACCAATTCCGTACGGGGCAGGGCGGTCTTGTGGCCACATGCAGCATCATCATCAGAACCTTCAAAAAATACGTAGAACGGTGAGTCGTATATGCCTATTTTTATAAAGGCGGAAGTCAGGCGCATTAGCCAACACTTTGTACCCAAGCACCATCAACACCGTAAGCGCCGTAAACAAGTCTCAGCAGACGGCCCCTACGTGGTTTCCAGACAAATATCAATGTAAAGATGTTAATTTCACAAAACTGGTAATGTGGGCATTGCCCGGGCATAGGCCTTACGCGTAAGCCGTCACTCGAAGCGGCCGGAGCATTTCGGCGGGTAGCAACGGAAACAACTGCAACCGCCAATCCCTCTACGTCCGAGAATCCGACCAGACATCGGCAAAAGGAATACTTCTGCATTCAGGAACGGGTCCATTTCATGGACTTCCGGCTCCGGCCGTCGGGCGGCCCTTCGAGCCGCAGAGGAGCTTCCGTATACAGCGGCGGATGGTCCTATTTCTGCAAGAGGGTCGGCTTCTGGAACTCTATTTCTGTTTTCGGAAGTTTCGGTTCGACCCGAAGTGCCCGAAGCGTTTGCCGATGTCTGAATCTGACGCCTGCGACTCCCTGAGTTTTTCGGCCTGGAGCACGTTGCACACATGCGCACAACGAAGTTTTTGGAAACACAGCCCAGTATTATCTGAATCCACGGGTTAGCAACATGAAACAAAGCAAAACACACCGAAGTCGCACCTGGTACACAAGGGTGATCAGGGCGCCAGCGTTCGCCGTTAGAAGCATTGCACGTTCGGCTTCTTACCAAGAAGCTCTGTGTGTGACGTGATCGCGAGGGGGCCCCGCGGGCAATCCTGATGTTTCTTAGTACGGGGTATTGAGTAAAAGCAACAGGACAACTGCCCGTCAGGAAGGGCCTACCGACGGGGGCATCAGTGGGGAGCCAGGTTGTTGCGATGTATCTTTGTGACATGAGCGCATCCTTAGGCGGGGTCCGTGGATTGTTGTGCGGATTGTTATGGACACCGGCGCCTTTTCGTCTTGGGGCGTCCTTCACAAAGCCCGGGCACTTCCCTGGACGTCGCGAAAACCACATTACCGACGGTTTCCTCATCTAGGCGAGCGGCTTTACCTCACGTGATGACCTTGGGTGCGTCCATGTGTGTTTCTGTATGTACGTTCGGAGTCGTGCCGATATTCGATAGACTGAGTCCCAGGTCTATCCAATGAATCCCGGTGGTTAGGATATGCATGACCTTTTAATGAGCATAAGTAGCATGGCTTAATCTTGGCACGGAAACGGTACGTTGCGGCTGATTCCGGCCGGCAATTTTGGACACAACTGTCTGGGCCAAGGTTAGCCTAAATATACGCGTGCATGACACAGAGCTATCCAAACTGATAGAATCGCGCGCGGCTTCAATCCAATTGTATACGCGGTTAGCTGGCTGGATTTTCCCTTCGTCAAAAGCCGTACCAGTTTTAACGCATACGCAAAGCTCCTCAAAGAATTAAAACCTAAGTGCCAATTTAGTCATAGTATAACTTTTAAAAGGTTTCAATTGCAGGTATGGGTTCATTGGGAGGGACCTTTTAGTAGCTGTGCTAGACCCAAAACCTTCCAAACCCATTGAACGCTCATCATGAGCATACTAATATGTCTTTTAATATTATAATGCACTAACAACTATCCTACTTAAAAATGAGGCCTGACGACCTACCACCTCCGTCAGCACGGTTCGGTCTCCAGAAGGAAATGGCTGCTTGGAATGTCTCTGATGATGGTAACTCAGACTCAGGAGCTCAGGGCCGCTCCCAAGGGAATGACCAAGGTAATTCGGCATGCATCGACCCAACTCAGGAATGGCGACGAAGATATCCTTCATCAAAGTACCATACTAATCATTATCCAAACGTCTTCTTAATTTCAAAGGCACTCGTCATGTATCGTTCGAGACTGGGCTTAGAGACGAAGACCGACCCGCAGCCAGCTCGCCATCGCCACCTCCTAACACACGTGGAAGAACCCCGCTAGACCCAGCGCTAA